CGATGTCTCCAGCTCTTTAGCACCATGCGTGTCCCTTCTTTAAATAAACCTCCTAGATGAGCTTCTTACAAAGATATTCCAGCAATTCAACATCGACTTCTTCATAAACTTTACCAGGAATGCCACTTCTTGGAGGAGAGTATGAATCAACCCGGACTCTTCCCCAGCTCCTGCTGTCCTTGTTCTAACTGTATAACGTGTGCAGAGAACAGGCGCAGACTATTTTATTTCCTTGGGGAGGGTGTCCTTAAAACTTTCAAGGGATATATGTATTCTACTCTAGGAAAGTAGAACCTGCTTTCTAGACACATTCAAAAAAAAAGGTATGGGTTATATTAAGATGAATTTCTTCCAGGTTTTAGAAACTCATATAGGCTATTATAGATTGTCTTAGAAAATTAGTGTATCTGCTCTGGCTGAAAATGAGAGCAGGGTTCTGTCTAATTCTGGGAAGTCACTAAGTGAGTAATGATACCATTAATGAAAATAAAATGAAAGTTAACGATTAGATGTTTATTAGGTGCCCGCCACATAGATGTACCTTTGGATGTACCCCCCCAGCCTTCAAGATGTAAATGTGAAGGGATTATAGTAATACCTACCTCATACAATTGCTGGGTGATTTAAATGAGTTATTATATCTGAAGAAGTTGGTACAGAAAGCAGCAACTTTTAGTTAAGACTCAATGTTTTTAAAAAGGAGCAGTCAGCGGCTTGGGGCCTGTAGCTCAAGTGGCTAGGGCACCAGCCACATACACAGGAGCTGGCAGGTTCGAATCCAGCCCAGACCTGCCAAGCAACAATGACGACTGCTACCAAAAGGCAGCTGGGCATTGTGGTGGGCACCTGTGGTCCCAGCTACTTGGGAGGCTAAGGCAGGAGAATTGCTTGAGCCCAGGAGTAGGAGGTTGCTGTGAGCTGTGATGCCACAGCACTCTACTCAGGGCCACAGCTTGAGGCTCTATCTCAAAAAAAAAAAAGAGCAATCATCTAAGAAACAACAATAGCAGCAGACTATTTTAATATGTCAAAACCTTCTGACATTAGATGCTTCTAATCTAACATCTTTGTAGTCATTTTGCACTGTTGTATTCCTTCCATTCAATAGTTAATTTGCTTCTAAACATTGGATGTATTTTTAATTAAATGAAGTTTGTGCCACATTTTGATAACTTTTGTTTTAGCTATGATTCGGCTTATGACAAAACAAAACAATGCACTTTCTGTTCACTATTAATAAAGTTAATGAAAGATGGACTTTAAGAACCAAATCCTAACTTATGAATACTCTCATTGTTTTCCTTGTTAAGGATGTTGGGACCTCACTGCCTTGTTGCAAAGACTTATCACGGGATGAAAATTTATTACAAATATCTTCGGTTTCAAAGACTTTTTGGTGAATTATTTAACCTGATTCTAAGATGTTTTGAAAATATTCTCTAGTTATGGTTTTTATAGATGATTTTATGCTATTGCCACAGACTCTGACAATTATACAGAATATATAACATAACCACGGCTTAATATCTTTTCATAAACTGTTGTCCAAATAAAGACCGCTCAAGAGAAGTGCAAGCATGCATGTATCAGTGCAGGGCATAGTGGAATGTGCCAGGCCTCTTCTGAAGAAATCAGTAAGTTATTATCTCTCAGGACTGATGACCCGACATTCCTGAATTCACCACCACACTTGGCACTTATCTCCATGCAGAAATAGGTGGCACTGTCGAATCTAGTGAGAATGACACCTCTGAAATCTCACAGCCCCTGTTAGAGCCCCCAGAGAATCTTCTCACATAGCACCAAACAAGTATTTTAGGAAGTGATGTTCCTCGAATGAATCAGTTTCTAAAATTAAAAATGAAAACAATTACAAGGAGAGGGAGAGAGGGGAGGTAACCTTCTCTGGGAGGAAAGGCTGCTGCCACTAAAACACAAAAAGACAATGTAACAACTGTCTACAGGGTGATCCAGGGGCCTGCAGGAAGAAACAGCCGATGTGAGTTTGAACCACACCATGATGGTTAGCTTTATGGGGCAATTCCACTGGTCTAAGAGATACCCCAATAGCTACTAAAAAATTATTTCTGGGTATAACTGTGAGGGTATTTTTGGAAGAGATTAACATTTGAATCAGTAGGCTGAGTAAAGCAAGCAGGTGTGTCCTACCAATGTGAATGGGGCTTGTCCAATTGATTGATGCCAAGATAGAAGGAAAGGCCCCAGGAGAAGAATGAATGTCCTGTCTTTTCCTGCCCTGGGCCATCCTTCCTACCTCATTCTTAGACATCAGCTTTAGGTGCTGAGCTTTCGGATTTCAGGACTTATACCAGTGGCCAACCCTGGTTCTCAGACTTTTGATCCTAGTCCATCTGGGAGTTACACCACCACTTCCCCCATTCTCCAATGTGCAGAGAGCAGATCATCAAACTCTTTGGCCTCCGTAATCCTGTGAACCAACTCCCGTAATAAATTTCTGTGTATATATCTCTATATATCTCTTTGGTTCTGTTTCTCTCTCTGGAGACTCCTGACTAATACGTGGGTCATTAATGAAAGTGTTGAGATAAACAAAAATCAAGAAATGTAAAATCCACATGAACAGGAACAATGGAATGCACCCAGCCCCACCAATCAGCCAAGCAAATTGCAACCTGCACAGGTGAATCAGAAAGGACGCTGCTGACAGTGTTTCTTGGGAGGGAAATGATGGACCACAGCACTGTCTGTCTCAAAGTTTTCAATGACCTACGTATACACACTGTTTGACCCAGCCCATAATAACGGTGATTTTATACAGATTTCTCAGCAAAATCATTTGGGAATAAGATAGTAGCCTTCTCTGTTTGGGGGCTATGAGCTAGGTCATCCCCATGTGCCCAGGACTGAGGAGATTCCCGAGATGTGGGGCATTCAGTGCCAATACCAGGAAAGTCCCCAGCAATCCTGGACGCGTGGGTCACCCTACATGAGTGCGCCCACCTAGATGACTGGTGAAAGTCGCCGCAGCTTCCTCACAAGCTGTTCCACCACTCACTGGAACTTCCCTCATCAGGTCTGGCACACGCTGACTCGCAGCAAGGGTGACCTCATCACTGACCTTCCTTCAGTTCCCCTCGGTGGCATCTGTTCCCCCTTTTCAGTACTTCTGTTTGTTGAGAGACCCAGTGTTCTTTTCCTTCCCTAGAGCTGTTCATGGAGACCTTGCATTTAGTTTTTCCTTGAACCAGTTTTATTGTTTCAAAATAAAACAATCCGATGTGGCTCTGGGTCTTCTTTCCTATCATAGAAAGAGACAGGATCAGCCACTCTTTCTAATGGGTGGCTAGTTAAGAAGCCCTGGAATAAATACCACCCGGAATAAAGATATATAAAGTTAATCCCAGAAAAGAAAATGTTTCATACTGGGAAAGAGGCAGAGGGCAGAGAGAAGGTTCGGTAAGGAAGGAGTCTCACCACACCCAGAACAATCATCTTTCTGTTACCTACGCACTTCACACAGGCTGATGCTCAGGGGTACGAAGTAGATGGATATATAGATAATTACCAAGCTTCAAAATAGTTAAATTAATTTTTAAGAAGGCTGAAACTCGTGTGAGAATTTCCAACTGTCTTTTGTTCCAAATATGTGTTCATTATGAATGAATCTTGAGAACATAATTGCCCAGACATTCTACATCCAAGAATTTTTCAATGTCTCTCATGAAATCTGTTCCCACCATTACTCATGATATTGTGTGAACAATATTCCACACAAACTGGGTGCTCAATAATTACTGATTGGCCAGTGGAGGACTATGATCTAATGCACCACAATCATTTATGCAAGGGGCCCACAGGAATTAGCATGATCTCATAAGTGTCATTTTTATTTTCCTTTGAGAAAGAAACAGATAGTGTCTTGTCTCGGGTTCTGTGTGTATGTGTGTGTTTGAGGGGGTATGAGGAGAAACGTGATAGGGGCATAAATGGAACAAGAATCAGGGAACAAAAGGAAGGAAACATACAATTATAGATAAGGAAAATCAAGACTATTAAAAACTGAGAATTTTGTATGCTAAAATGTACACTCATTTAAACAGCAAGCCAAACTGCCTTACGAGATGATTAGCAGAATCAAGCTTAAGAGCACCTGAAATTTAAAACAAAAACCAATTTATGTTTTATTTAAGAAAAGCAAACAGATGGGCCTGCCGATAATTTCAAAATGGAGTTAACAAAAAGGAAAACAAACCTGGAACCTAACGTCAAATGAGTTTGAAATAATAAGCAAACCTATGAACAGAACAAACATAGAAGTCGCCACTGCCTCCCTCGCTTGGCCTGTGTAATTCCCCCAAATCTTCTTTCTCCTCTTTTTCTTCTCATTCCTAGAAGGGGGAGCAAGACGAACACATCAGAGATCGTCAGTTCCCCAGATTGGCACAAAATTCATAAACCACAAACTCTAGGAAAGTGTAGGCATCTTTGTCAAGGCCAGAGTTCTGTTTGGGTCTTTCACAGGAACTTTAAAACAAAAATTTTTAAAGGGTGTTTGCGAATATCTTCATATTAATTTGAACCACGCAAAATTGAAGTTTTTATAGGTAAGAAAAAAAATCAGGGGTATTGACAATTTCAAATGATTAATATATTATAATTTTGATTATAGAAATATTCAGATCTTAAGCAGATAATTAAAGCAAAGATTTCCCTTGGGTGACTAATCCTTCTGACAGAAGGTGTGGACTCAAGTTCAGGAACAGAGAAGACCCAGGTCTGGGTTTCTCCACCTCTCACTTGCTCTCTTGGCTGGGTTGGTCATTGTGTTCTGAGTCACCACATGAAACATCTGCTATGGACTCTTTCTCCTGTTAGAGGGATTTTTGTTCTTAGCACTTCAACGGCCTCAGTGATATACTGTTGCACTGGTTCTTGTTTCTGACTTAGCACCATCATTATTATTAGTGCTGCCCTCCCACACTTCCCAGCTCTCTTGATACTTCTCTCCTATCTTTTTTTTACACTTTCTCTAATGCTTCCTTTATCTCATTATCATCATCCAAGTATGTCTTGTTTCTTCTCCTCAGTGCATTTTCTTTGCCTGTTCTTGTGTGTATAGAGATGGCGCTTTGTTTCCCCTCTAAAATCTCATGGTTAGGAGGTAAACTTTTTAGCAAGGCTTCTGAGAAGAGAATTTCCCCACAAAGGAAACAGTCACTATCCTTCTCAGGTCCTGGTTTCTAGAAACAAGACCCAAAGAATTGACTTCCTCAGCATTTTTAGCAGAAGTTCCTGTTCAGGCTGAGCTAAGATAATCAAAACAAACTTTGAAATCTTTGGGTAGTTATAAAACCAGACCATCAACAAGTCTTCACTATCAATAACACAAAGAGCACATGGGTCACTAGTCACTAAGTGTACATGTGTTATGATTAATTTTATGCATCAACTTGCCTGGGCTATGGGATGCCCAGATAGCTGGTAAAACATTATTCTGGGCGTATTTGTGAAGGTGTTTTAGGAAGAGTTCAGCTTCTGGGGGGGTGAACTGAAGATTGTAGATGGTCCTCCCCAGTATAAGTAGGCATCATCCAATCTGTTGAGGGCCTGAATAAAACAAAAAGGTGATGGAAGAGCAGAGTTGTTTTTTCTCTCCTTGATCTAAGACATCCATCTTCCCCTGTCCCTGACATTAGTGCTCCTAATTTGTGAGCTTTCAGACTCACACCAGGACTTGTACCATCAGCTTCCCTGGTTCTCAGTCTTTTGGACTTGGATTGAATTAACCCACCAGCTTTCCTTGTTCTCCAGCTTATAGGTGGCAAATCATGGGACTTCCTGGCCTTCATCACTGGATGAGCCAGTTTCTATTTTATTTCCATATATAATTGTGCTTAAGGACAGAGATATATTCTGAGAAATTCGTCATTTGGGGATTTCATCATTACGTGAACATCATGGAGTGAGCTCACACAAACATAGATGGCGCAGCTCACTCCACATCTAGGCTTCACATGGCTCTAGGCTACACACCTGTACAGCATGGTACTGTACTCAGCAGTGTAGGTAATTATAACACAGTGGTGAATATTTCTGTTTCTAAACAGATTTAAATGTAGAAAAGGTACAGTAAAAACATGGAATAATAATCTTATGGGACCACCATTGTATATGCAATTCTTTGTTGACTGAAATGTCATTTTGTGGTGTATGGCCATATACAGACACACATACACTTTATTGGTTTTGTTTCACTGAATTCAATTGTATTGTATACTAATACAACATGGTATACAATTATATTAACTGTAGTTCAAAATTCACAGGTTTGATTACACATATGTGAAGATAGGAGTTTGGGTGTATAAACGAGGGTAGTATCTTGCTGATGAATGAGATTTGGAGCAAACCCAGGGCATCAGCCTGGTAGGTGTCAGGAGGTCTGTAACAATACTTTATGGCAAAGCCTCCCTCAACACCTCTTGGAAGTTGTGAAAAACTTTTCTAAGAAAAGCTTTTTTTTTTTTTTTTTTTATGAAAGATGACACTTGATAGATAAAATTGGGATGAGCAGGATTCTTCAAATATTTTTGAACACTGACCTTTATTTTTTCCAGGCAGTGGGGCCCCAGGCGTAGGTCCAAGAGAAGCGTCTAGACACCATGTGGCTACACTGTAGAGAATCTGAAAACAGTAACAGAGTCTACTATACTCTAGTCTGTTATCACTGTCAGCACACAGCACAATTTTAAACAACATCAGTGGTAAAACATCCTTCCCTGAAAAAAATCTTTCCTTGGAGTACATTCTGAACAATTGTGGTTAATGCTGAATTTTTTAGATATATAAATAAGTTCCAAATTAGTACAATTAAATTACTTATCCTTTAGCAAAGCCTTGAATCTGACATGAAAATTGTTTTGAAAAACTTCTAGGTATGTAGTCCTTGACTCACAAGGACTCAGGTAAATGCTTGGGAAAGTTCATAACCTTAGTGTCTATGGTACCATGTGTTTCTGCTTTAAATCACAGATTTAAAATCAAGGATTGTAACACAATGATTGGCAAGACCAAGAGACCTACCCAGAGTTGCTTCGATTCTGTCATTCTGTGGGACTGACCAGTTGGAGCTCTTGTGTATTGGAAAAGGGGAACGAAGGCAGGAAGAGACTAAATTTTCTTCCAGCATTCAAATTTCAAAAATCCCATTTCTTTTTTATCAACCAATTTTAAGCAACACATGACCTAAGATTTCATTCAGACTAGCTAAGCAGCAGTTCTCAATCTATGGGTCGTGACCCACAGGAACTGTATTAAAGGGTCAGGGCATTAGGGAGGTTGAGAACCACTGAGCTAAAGGATGCTGGAAAAACTATGCCTGGTATACTCTGCTCTCACTTCTTCAGGAAAAGAGAAGAAGAGAGAAGAAAAGACAAGAACAGAGAAGAGACGAAATGAAGCTATCAGAGAAATGTAGAACTGGGGTAGGCTGTTAAGTATCTTTGTGTAGGGTGCGATTATTATATTAGAATGTTAATATCATGCTGTGCTACTTTGAAGTTTGGTCTCTGGGCCAGCAGCATCTGCATCACCCAGAAGCTTGTTGGAAATGCAGAATCTCGGGCCTCACCCCAGATTTACTGAATCAGAATCCACACACTGACAAGATGCCCAGGGATTCATATGCATGGCAGAGTCGGAGAAGTTCCATGGGACCATGTGATGTTTTCTACAACTTAGCAAGCCCGAGTATTCCTAAGGAGGACACCCAGGTCTTGGCTTCAGGTAGACTTGTGTTTCTCCCCTTAGCTGTTTGACCATGAGCAAGGGATTCCACCCTCATGAGCTTCAATTTTCTGATCGGTAAAATGAGGACTACAGTAATTATATCCCCAGACTTGTTTGGGGGAAGGGCAATACCTGCTCCTCCCTTTCATTCCTTTGTTCTGCTACCAGCCTGTGTGCTGTTGTCTGTTTCCTGAACTTAATAATACCCTAGGACTTCTGGATGTTGGCCACCCGAGGGAATGCAGCAAACTGGCCAACATAGGGAGGTGGTCAATGCAGAGAACCAGGCCTGCTACACGGATGTGTACATGCGGTATATGTCCAGTCTATAAAAATTAGGCCAATGTAAGGAGATGGTCAACTATGGAGGTTCTACTGTATAGGTAATTGAGTGTTATCTACAGACAACACTCTGAAATAATTTGATGTTTTATTAGTGTTCTCAAGACAATAGAATATGATTTGGCAAATTGCCTCTGAAGACATTCTTTTACACTTCTATATTCTCTTGCTCTCAATTGATATGTAAGCAATATGTCACTTCCATAAAGCCTGAGATATGTTATGGGTAGATAAATAACAAGTTCATTTATCCTAGGTTTTTTCCAAAAGTTTAAAATTTCAACTTTTAGTGTTAGTAACCTAGGACAAATTCAATACAGTCTTCCTGCTTAAGCATCCCAAGCCCTTGTGCTGAAACATATTCCTTGCACTACATAGGTTACACAAAAACTGAATTTGTGTGAGATATTGTAGACTAAAGTGAATTGCACAAGAAGAAGATACTTTACGTTTCAAAAACTGTGTGTGTGTGTGTGCATGCGCGTGAGAGAGAGACTTTTGTTGCCTTTATAAACCAGCTGCTATGATTAATAAAATGAAGTTTTTTTAAAGAAAATGAGATCATAACAAAAGCCCTCTTCATGCCTCACTTTTATCAGGGGCAGAAAGGAGAGAGGCAAAACAGCATGAAATGATGAGACCAAGTGATGAAAATTCATTCACAATGATTGCTTTCAAGAGTAATTTCTCTTGGGTAATTCAGCGCACTGTTACTACGGCTCTCGAGAGTGACAGCTAATGTAAATGAAGCTACTAAAAGTGGATTATCGTGGCAAGAATACACTCAACCAATAATGCAATAGAAATCCACTCAAAGCATTTGGGAAAAATACAAGAGAAGAAATGTCCTCTTTCTGTTTTGTTTTGCTTTTTTAAGTTAATGACCTACGATACATTTCTTCTCCGACTTAAGAAATAGCAAGCACTTAAAAATACCCATCCAGGAAAAAGAGATGAAAAAAATCCATTTGGATGAAATAAGCACCTACCTGAATTGTCAATATTTTTGTTTGGTCCCGGGGACTTAGGTTTTGAGCCAAAGTCTATGAGCCATGTTGGCAAATGTCTCCAATTATTTTTGCCAACGTTTATGTCGGGAAAAAAAAATAACATTTTAAAAACCTTTCTTTCTTACAGAGGTGTATGGTGCTCTAAAAATGTTGTCAGAAAAAAAGTATTAATGCAAAGTGAAAAAAATTTTAAAGACATCCTCTTTCACCAGCTCATGCACACAGCTTTTGGAATGTCCACACTGAGTAGATGTTATTTTTGCTTTCTCTATACCAACATCTCGGCTATTATAAGACTGGTTTTGTGACAGCTCTTGCCACCCTTCTGCATGGAAAGATTCAATGGAATATTCATGGAAATTGGTTTCCTAGTTTAGATTGTGGCCTTCTGGGCAGGACTGGAGCAGGGACACAGAAGGGAGCAGCTGCAAGCTATGTTTAGAAGGGTGTCCGGGGAATGTCACACAAGAGCAGATAGACTTAAAGGTAGGCTTTGCATGAAAGGAAGAAGTGGGTAATTCTATGTCAGGCAGAGCCTCTTATTTGGAAGGAGAGACGCAGAAGAAAGGAAGCAAAAGGAATTATGCTTTTCATCAGCCATATTTGCAGGTAGGAAGATTGGCTAAGGGAAAGGAAGTCTCACTGACTGAGGCTTCTAAACCAGGTGTCAACAAAGTGGAACAGATTAATTTCATTTGTGACAGGAAGAAGAGCCAGGAGAGATAATCCAGAAGTCATTGGGGATTGACGATAGAAGTTATTTTAGGGATACTCTATTGGAAATGAGAAGGTACCTGACATTTTTGGATTCCTCCCAGATAAAGGATTAAATTACCTATGGGTTGACTCAGAAAAATGCAAAGAGTATTGTTGCTCTACGCAAACTTTTATCTAACCCCCATTCTCTCTTTATTCCATGTTGAAATGGCACAATTTTTTTTCCAGACCCAAAGCAAGACATCCTCTAGGGAGGGATTGGTTAATTGGCCATGGAAGGCAAGCTTTCAGATGGGTCCATCTGAGTGAGTTTTCAGTATTCCTACCTCCTTTGTCACCTCCACCCCCACCAACACTGTTGTCCCTTCCACTCCACCATCTCTGTTGTTAGTGATGACAATGTCTCTCCCATCAGTCTCATCAAATTCTCTCTCATCTACTAAAATTTACTTTCAGGAAAAATTTTTTTGAAAATGTATCCTATAAATCCTGATTGGCTCCTTATCTAGAGAATAGCCTTGACCTAGAGGAAGAAAGTTAAACTGAGAAATCTGGGGCATTCATGAGCCAGAAATTTAATAATTAATGGCAAGATCTACCACCTACTGACCACCTAGTATGAGGCGGGCATTGACCTTTTCTCTGGGCGGGCAGAATGTTAGAGCCAGGGAGGCTCATACCTCTTAAAGAAGAGCTATCTTCTGTTCTGTAAGTCATGGACTTCAAGAGACTGTGGAGTTGTCTTTCTTGGGTTGTATTCAGTAGATTAGAGTATATAATAGAAGATTCCCAAAGCTAGGTATTAATGCAAAAGGGATAAACATTTTAGGATAAAAAATACCAACATCAGGAAAAATGGAACCAACTCATAAACTATACAAACACTGGCATCGTAGCCTGGTGGTTAAGAGCTAAGACTCCAGACTTAGACTGTGGAGTTCCAATCCGGGTTCTATTTCTTACCAGCTGTGCAATCTTAGGCCATTCCTTAAACACTTGGTGCCTCAATTTGCTCATCTGTAGAAGAGATGTTGATTATAATGGTATCTAACCTATAGGCTTCTTAGGAGCATTAAACGAGTTAATCTTGTGTTTGCCAAGTGCTTAAAATGCTTCTCCAAAAGAGTTTGGCAAATATAAACCTTAAGAATCAGTTCACTCCCCTCTACACCGACAGCTCTCAACAAATGCTATTGTTCGGGCACAAGCCCTGGGATACAAGTGGATCTATGTAAAGATAAAAACACTCCCTTCTTTTGTTCAGCTCTCTGCCCTACATCAATACTTGGGATAGATCACGCTCAGTACCCACCGTTGAATGAATAAATGAACCTACCTTGGCAGTTACATAAGGGAGTTTCACATCAGTATCAATATAAATCTGGACAAAGTAACCTCCAATAAAATTTCCACTCTAAGGTTTAGAGATTTCTTTAAGGAACTAATAAATTGGAATGATGTAATCCTAAACATGTGCCCCTAGGATTTGAGACAAAACTTATTTTCTCTGTTTTTTTTTTTCTTTCACTTTCTTTCAGTACAGCAGAACATGTCTATTAACTGAATGCCTTTTTCTAGTGGAAAGGTTAAAGACGAATGGGAAGTGCAGTTATCAGGGGTCTCCAGCCACCTCCACGGGTGTCTAATCATGATCTTCTTTTACAGTTTCCTATCTCCAGGCCTTTCAGTTGGGTCAGGTTGGCATTTCACTGCCCTTTTGTGTGTGACAAGTGAAAACAGGGAGAGAAAGGATGCTCGAATGGAGAAAACTAGATGGCACAGCAGCTTGAGGGTGGTGTTCAGCTGGTCCCCCACTGCACCTGCTCCCTGGAACGCAGGGCCCACCTCTTTGCTCCTCAGACACCCCATCAGTGTGACAGGCCTGCAATTCCTTTCTCAGAGCAGACCCTCCCTCATCCTTCTGGTTGTCACTCCCCACTTAGCCAGATGTCCTCCAACATCTGCCCAGGTGATCCGCCTCACTTGGGAGCTGAGAGGAGTTCTGATTCCACAGCAGTCATGCTAAGGACAGAGATCTCCCAGTAACAATGCCAAAAAAAGAGTAAATGTCCCCAAATTTCCTTCCTAGGACTCAGTTCTCCTAATTCCTCCCAGGAAACCAACATGACTGCTCACCTCTCCAGGGAACTGAAAACAATTGGTCAATTCAGCTGCTTGGATCAACTTAAAACATCAAACCTCCCTACACATTAAATCATTTAGTTAGAAAGAGAAAATGACTTAATGTGCTGACGCTTGCTTGGAATATCTGCAAAAATGGAAAAGAAACTGTTAATGAGGTCAAATCACTCCACCTTTGGGAGTCGAAATTTACTCATATCCTCAAAGAAATATAGTCAGTCCTCGTGGTGAAAATAGGATTATTTCTTTAGCTCAATAAGCAACCAGACCTTCTTTCTTCAAGTCTTGACATTTAATCAATCAGAAATTGATTTTTGGAAAACTGTTGCCTGCGAAGCTATCTCTGCCTGAGAATTTTTCCTTAAAAATCTGAAACCTGGAGATACGATTCTATTGGTCAGATTTTCAATGACCAATTCCCACCACTTCTGTCTTATGCCTCACGGAAGCTGGGGCCTCTGTAGTCTCTTCCCTTATAATTACAAACGTTTGTTGTTCTCAAGCATCATTTATACTCTTTGCCTCTGATTATGTGATCTCCTAAATTGTGAGCAAATCCCAAAAGGCTGGGAAAACCACTCTGTACAGATTAGGAATATTTTGCTTCTGTCTCTGTGTCTTTGCATGTATCTGTTAAGCTAGAGGTCTTCCTGGTCTCTCTTTTTCTTTGGAAGAGAAAACTAAGATTCAGAGATGCTAAGGAATTCTCCTGAGATCACACTTCAGTAACAGAGCTGGGGTTTAGTCCAGGGCTGTTCTATTATTCACTTGTATTTATACATTTCATAACATGTCATTAATTCAGTAATAAAGACATCTTTAGTGATTGAAGTCAGGGGTCAGTAAACTTTTGAGGGAAGAACTAGATGGTAATATTTTAGGCTTGATGGAGCATGGGTTCTCTGTCACAGCTATTCAACTCACCAGGTAGCATAAAAGTAATCGTAAACAAAACATAAATGAACAAACAGGGCTGTGCTTGTTTAAAGAAAACCTTTATTTACAAATTCAGGTGGCAGACCAGATCTGGCCCAGGGACCATAGTTTGCTGACACTTGATCTAAATAAATCTGACTTTTAGGGATGAGATTTACACTGTGGCCTGTTTAGCAGGAATAAGAAGTTTAGTCAAGTAAAGACCCAGGTTAGAGTGTCAGAAGTGAAAAGGCTGCCTGCTGCCAATGGTAAATGGAAAAGTTGAAGTACCAATTTTAAGAAGCAGAAAAGCATAATGGTTACAATGGTGAACTTGAGAGCAAGACTGTCTGGGCTCCAGGCTTGGGTACTCTAGCTGTGTGGCCTTGGTCAAGTTACTAAACTTCTCTGTGCCTCCATTCCCTTATCTATTAAATGGGGTTAATAAAAGTACCTTCCTCATTGAGTTGGAAGAATGAAGTGAGTTAATACATATAACATGGGCCCAGCTTATATTGATCTATCAATAAATTCCAGCTACATATGTGTTCACTATATATTTTTATTCACTATCATCAAATGTTTATCTACAGATTGGCGCTAAAGAGATGGAGCGTAACCTGATACTGATCAAATTAAGAAAACGAGTAAGCAGGAATGAAAGCTGAGATTTTATATATATGCACAGAAGGTGCCCAAAAATGTATACACATTTTATGAAAGGAAAAAATTATATTAAAATTATAATACTCAAGTCACATTTGACGTCTGCAATTATAAAAGATACAAGATACAATATACAAGATAGCAAGTGTTATTGATACATAGTGGGTATTACAACTTTAATACGGTCTTTTTCATTCTTAAAATGTGTATACATTTGTTTGCTACCCTCTGTATGCAGCGGCAAATTGTTCCTGTTGCTATTAGAATGTGAGAACTATCCAAGATTTAAGGCCTTAAAGAAACATTTATTTTGGAAGTAAATCTTCAATACATGTAAGGCTTATCTGGCAAGACTTGTCTCTGTTCCACGTGGTATTAGTGAGGGGGGGTTGGGAAGGGCTGAAGCATCCATCCCCTTCCAAAATGACCCTCTGATATGTCTGGCAAGTTTACTGGGCAGCTTGCTGGGAGCTCAGCTGGAGCCAAGGTTAAGGATCATGTGGCCTGGTCTCCTTCACAGCAAAGTGGCTATTTCAAGGCTGAGATTTCCAAGAGAGACACAGAATGAAGTTGTATTATCTATTAAGACCCAGCCTTGGAATTAACGTAGCGTTCCTTCCATCCCATTCTATCTTTTAGAAGTGAGTTATCAACGTCAACCCATATTTAAGGGGATAGGAATTAGACTCGATCTCTTACGCAAACACAAAAATATGCTTAACATTGTAAAGATGTTTAAAAATTCTAAAGTCCACGTTCTGGTTACAAGTAATTTACATTTCCTCTACGTACAGGGTAAACTCATACATTGACCCTACCCAAGACTCAGATGCAGGTATG